ATTCCGAGGACCCTTTAGAAAGCTGGGCACATTGGCACATACCTGTAATCCCAGAGCTGGGAGTTGGAGGCAGAAATAGGATTCCTAGATCTTGTTGGCCAGCCAGTCTAACCTAAGTGGTAAGTTCTAGCTTTGGTGAGAGATGTTGCACTCAGTATCAACTACGGGTGTCTTCATACATAATACACACATGCACACACACTTGCATGCAAACACATACACACATATACCACACACAGCACACAAATCCAGGTTACCAAGTGAAAAGCCAGAAAGACTGCATTCTCTAAATCCAACAACCTTCTCTTGGGGGAGGAGACATCTCTAGAGAGATGGCAAGCTGTGAGTCAACCAGGACTGGGGCCACCAGATGCCTTTCCCTTTAGGCATAATGGCTTGCCCCAGGGCTGAGACAGCACCAGGAGTTTTACAGCAAATTCACACTTGCAAGAGCTGTCCACCAGAACCTAGGATACCCTCAGTTACCCTGCCAAGGACCAGAGAGGCAATGACCAATAGCTAGACAGAAGAGGGATACACAGTGCTGGTGAGCAGAGAAAATACATAAGGAGAGATTTAGGTTCGAGAAGAATGAGAGAAGGACAAGAGAACATGGAAGAAGAGGGAGACACCTGGAGCCAATCAGGCAGCCACCAGCCAGCCGACGTGAAATGCAGTGAAAGTAAGATATACAGAAGGAAGAAAGGAAAAAGCCCGGAAGCAAAAGGTAGGTAAAGAGAAACAGGATAATTGAAGTTAAAAGAGCTAGCCAGAAATGAGCCTCAGCTGGGCTGAGCATTCAAAACTAATAATAAATCTCAGTGTCATCATTTGGGGACTGGTTGGTAGCCCAAAAGAGAAAGCCTGGTGCAGTTTTTTATTCTAAATTCTAGCAGTTTTTCTTTCCTAGAATGACTTTTATTGCACTCCACTGGTTGGTGAGCCCTGAGGTACGCATGACTTAGAAGGGGGCAGGGCTTCTGAAAATCAGAGGCAATGAGGACAACCATTTCAAATGGCGTCACTCCCCAGCTTAACACTGTTACTGTTGTGCCCCTCCACAGTCCTCCACAGCCAGCAGGGCACACAGACAGTAGTCACTAGTGTCTCCTCACTGGTCTTCTATATTTTTAATTTTTTAAAGACTGTCAAGCAGCCCAAACCATATGGTTCGTGGATGCCAGCTCTGATTGTTTGCCGCATAACAAGTCATCCCAGGACTCAGTGGCTCCAAACAACAGTTACTTCATTTTGCTGGTAAGTCTGCAGCTTGGGCTAGGCACAGTGAAGATGTTGTGTCTCTCGCCGTTAGATGCGCTAGCTCCTCTGGGGCTATGGTGTCTTTCTCAGAGGACAGCAGAATATTTGCTGGGCTACAAGCCAGCCAGGGCTGAGGCAGGGGGCCACATTCTCTCACCCCGTGAGCCTGTACATTTGGCCTGCATTTCCTGAGTAGCTGTTTGTAGTCACAGAAATAGTGCAACCTCCACAGTTCTCACAGATGTCTTGCTATGCATCCCAGCTCTGAGTTTAAACCAACTTTCTGTTGGTTTGTGTTTGTATGTGTTTGAGACAAGATCATACTATGTAGCCTAGGTAGGCCTTGGTCTTTCAATTCTCCTGCTTCAGTCTCCTGAGTGCTGGGATTACAGGTATGTACCAACATGGTTGGCTTAAACCTAGCCCTTTTGTATAGTACCAGAACTATAGAATCCATTTGGTGTTTATTTGAAGCTAATAAGTCTGTGAACTTGCTACAACTGCCATAGTTACCCAACACAGTCCCATTCTGTTTCACCCATGACGTGGTTGCTCAGACAAGTTTTCCTTGGTGGCAGCGGTGGGCATTTTTGCCCCTATAAATGGGTGGTAGACACTGGAACTGGATCAGTCTTCAAGAAGGCTGTTGGGGGTTTTGCTTCTCTAGGGTCCAGATGTTAAGCTCAATGTGAATACATCTCATTGTGCCCTTCCTTCCTTTGTGAGAGAAGCCAGTTAGGCACAGCTGCAACTCCAGAAAGCCCACACAGACTAAGCAAGCCACTTCCCCCAAGTCGGCCTCCTCCAGAAGTACTCTGGGCTTCGTGCCTGAATGCTGTGGTCAGGGTTACCATTCGCTTCCTGAACTTCAGTATTATAGTTAACAAAAGCATACCACAACCATTAGTCATCAGTATATTTTTATCCAGAAATGGTTGGTTTTATTCATTTTCCCATTCTTCCCTTTGTTCTGCCATCTGGCAGCTTCTTTTAATTGCGAGAGTCTTTTTGTTCTGCCACCATTATTTGCTGTTGCCCTTCTGTCTGCATGACAATTCTGAATTGTCATTAGAAAGTGACTCTTGGGAGGGTCTGGGCTCCAGCAGGACACAATGCAGATCTGACGGGTGCCTAGGATTGTCACTTACTGAGGGGACTAGCTGTAGCAGGTCTGAATTCAGGACAAGCCTTTCTATACAGCTTCTCATGCTGGTTTGGGTCATCTTGGCATGAAGTGGTGATAGGCATTTTTAAGAGAATTCCTGTCTCTCTAGTTTGGGGGCAGGGAAGCAGCATGGACTGTGGACAGCCATATCTGGAGCCACATCCAGCCTGCCAGCTCCCGCCTCCTGGCAACGTCTGAACTGAGAGAGCAGGCAGAGACTGTCCTCTGGTGGGAGAGGTCCTGCACCCTCCCTGGGGGCCGTTCCAGGGCACAGGAATCCCAGGACTTCCTGAGGGATTCTGAATTGTTCATCCGTGCTCATTTTCTCAAAACTTGACTCATGCTAAGCCTTTGCAAGCTGTGAGTCAACCAGGACTGGGGCCACCGGATGCCTTTCCCTTTAGGCATAATGGCTTGCCCCAGGGCTGAGACAGCACCAGGAGTTTTACAGCAAATCCACACTTGCAAGAGCTGTCCACCAGAACCTAGGATACCCTCAGTTACCCTGCCAAGGACCAGAGGGACTTCCCTGCCAGCACATGGGAAGAGTGCAGTTTTCATTTCATACAGTTTTATAATTTTGTTGTTTTTTGGGACAGGGTTGCGCTAAGTATTCCTGACTGTCCTGGAACTTCCTATGTAGACCAAGTTGGCCTAGAACTCACAGAAGTCTGCCTCTCAAGTGACTCCATGGCACATGTGCCCACATACACAGGCACACTCACGTGTACACACACACACACACACTCACCCTCATGGTTTTTGGTTTTTTCTTTTTTCTTTTGGTCTTTCAAGACAGGGTTTCTCTGTATAAGACTCATGGTTTTAAAGGAGTTAAATAGCAACATTAAAGAAGCAAATTTCATCCCTCAAGATAAAAAGCTAAGCAGGAAAGGAAAGGAACAACAGCAAGCGGTTTCCGGTCCGTTGAGGCTAGGATGATCAGATGAAACTTCCGGGTTGACAACTTAGGTTACTTGTCTTTCTTGAGGGCAGGGTATACAGCCAAAGAGACTGTGTAAATGCCCTGGGAATTTTTACAGCTTGGGACTGGAATTGGTTCTGGTCTGTCCTAACTGTAGCTGGAATATTGGAGGTGTGAACAAGGACAGGGTCAGACCTGCGTCACACAGAACACACCTCTTCCATGTCTTCACCTAAGGCTGAGATGAATTACCGGTACTCAATGGAAGTATGACCAGCCCCCATTATACACGAAGCAGCAGCTCACTCAGAAAGATCCTAAAGTCAAAGCCAGTCCTATCAGGATGATGGTCGCTGCCCACTCCAAAACTAAGATAGTCTTACCTGGAATAAACAGGGTTTTACTTGTTTAATGGTTAAGGTGAGACTCAGTCCCTTAATTGTACTTCAGTGAAGGGTTTGCTTTCAAGAAATGTGTTTGTTTTGCAAATCTGTTATTGTAGGAAATAATGAGTATTCTGACTAGTGGGAAAAAAATAGTATGTTTGGTTTGTACATAGATGTGGTCTTTCTCATAGCCTTCCTGCACAATGGATTTTAGCAGGATCAGCAGGGAATGGCTCTAGGCTTCCACAAGTGGCATATGTTTCAGGAATTTTGCCTTTAAGCATTTCCCTTCAGTGTATCTGAAACATCTCTACATCTCTTGTTTCTTGAATGGTTTTACAATTCTTTGAATATATGGACAAAGGGGAAAATTAATCCCAAGTGTTTTGTTACTTATCAAGTGGTATATTAAATATTCTCTACTGTTGGGGGAAAAAAGAGGCAAATTTCAGAAGACTATCCATTCTGTACTCAAAAAATAATAAACAAAAATAAAAGAAACAATTGCTCTGTATAGAAGTAAAATACTTTTTAAATAGCTTTCAAACATTGGTTGCAAAGAAAGTACCAATGGCCTATAAATGTCGATGCCATGCTACCCATAGCTTCTCAGCTTCTGGTGCGCAGCTGTTACTGTGCACAGTCCTTGCTCTGTGCTTATGTGGGCCCTGAGAAAACACCTGCTGTGACAAGCTGAGCTGAGTTTGTGACTGCAGCAGGCTGGCCAGGCAGCTCCCAGCCTCTCTGCACGAGGAAGACCTACTGGGTGCAAATTCAGTTGAGCACAGCTAAATCAATTGGCTAAGGTCTCTGGAATCCCTGGATGGGACGCTTTGGAGGGAATAATTCTATTACTCATGCTTTCCTAGCCTGGCCTTGCTCAACATTTTCCAGCCCCTCCCTCCCCACTTCCACAGCACCGCATTCCTGCAGAGATTCCAAGCCTGCCTACACAGCCACCACGACAGCAAGGAGCACAGGAGAAAGCCTCGCCTCCCTGCTGTTTGGAAGGGCTGTTTCTAGGGCTACATTTCTGCCACCACTGGTAGCTCTGACTTTGCCACCGCATCCGAACAGAGTCCCTGTTGACCAGAATAGGATGATTCACCATGGCAGCCCTTTTCACAGCTTTTGCTTCGAGAGTCTGTTTTTTACCACAGAAAGTGTTTGAGGCTTGGAGAATATGGACACTGTGTCACTAGATCAACAATGAAAGAACAAAATGGAAAGAAAGAAAAAAAAAAACAACCAGGGCTCTGTGGGATTGTAAAGTAGCAACTTATGTCTATTTGTTATTTTAGCATTTAAAACTAATTGCGTAGTAGGAAGAAGGTGTGGTTTGAAAAGGAGTGTGAATAGAAAATACCACAAAATGTCTGTCATTATGTAGAAAGGAAGAAGGAACTGCCTCTCCCATCTTCTTACAGTTCCCAGGGTGGGACCGAGGGTGGGACCCAGTGCCACAGAGGTGCCTTTCCACCCTCTGGGTAGAGACGGTCCTGTGGAAAGGCATGCTGGCACAGCCCACTCCACTGACCACACACTTTTTCTAGTCCCTCTCATACAACCGCCCATAGAGAGCCGCTGTCACCAGACCAGAGGACAGTCCACTCTTCCTCAAGAAATAGTGGTCATTTTCCCATCCGAGCTGGTCAGGGGTATCCAGAGTCATCCCTGAGGTGAGAAACAGAGGAAAGATATAGGAAGTGCTGAAGTTCCCCCACAGGTGAAAGTCAAACAGGCCTTGTGCCTCTGAGATCTCCTGCCCACAAGTGTCAAAGCCAAGGCCCCCACACTTGACCAGGGCACAGACTTGAATGTAGTAAGTGCCATGTACCGTGTGGAGCCCATCAAAGACACCCAGGGCGTACAGCTCTTCGGACAGGGTGGGCCTCTCGTAGAGTAAGTGACAGCAGAGACCGTTGGAGCAGGCCTGGACATAGCCTTCCTTTCCCCAGACAGGCACCAGGGTGAAGTTGTCGTACATCATCTCTGAGTAGAAAGTAGGTGGTGCGTTCATGTTCCACTTGGCAGCCTCCTCACAGTGCACTTCCTGGGCGTCCTTCTCACAGGACAGGTCACCACCAGCCAGGATTTTTAAGAACTTACTATGGGATGGGTCCGTTTCACTAGTTGCATTCTCTATCCCAACAAGTCCCAGGGGGTTTGTGGCCACCTGGGCAATTATAAGGTGGCCTTCGGGGTTGTCCATGTCATGGTACCAAAAGGACTTCAGAGGGGTGTGGATGCCACTGCCAGTCATCCCCAGAGTCGGGTGGTGGATATTAGCTGCCAGAACACTGACACCAAAGGCAGTGGCGAATGCTTTCTGGATTTCAATGGCTGCCAAGAGCGGCAGCTGGTTCATCCAGGCCGTGGGGTATACAATGTGCTTCACCTTGGAGTCTCTGAGGAGTTGGATGGTGGGCTCAAAGAACAGGATGTCAAAGCAAGTGAACATGCCAAACTGGCCCGCAAAGGGGGTATCAAAGGTGACGAGGTCCACATGAGCAGGGGTATCAAAAGCCGCCTCAAAGTACAGGTTGTGCTTACGGTAGCGGGCAACAAGGGTTCCATTGTGGCTGAACACCACATCTGTATTAAACTGGTATCTCCCGTCATCTGGGCACCTGGGGTCACTGCGAAGGCAAGGCTGTTTTGTTCCAAGATTGGCCACCAAGAACATCTGTCCCTTGATGGCCATACAACTCAGGCGCTGGAGGACCTGGGGTGGACAATAAATAAAATAAGTTTAAATACTGCCTTTTGGATCATATTTCGATAAAGAAGTTCCTGTATTGTGTCTGTCATATATAAACAGCTATCATAAGTCAGTGGGAAAACACTTGTGAGAGTGTACAAAGGTTATGAACAGGTGATTCACGGGACAAACGTAAGAGGCACCTGCAACTAAACTCGGTAGTGACGACAAAATGTAAATTCAGGGAGCCAATTCTTCACCTTTGTTAGAATGGCAAAAGCTCAAGGAAGTATTGCATCTAATATTGACCCAAGGGCAGAAAAACAGACTCACAAGTTAGTACTGGAGGTATGTAAAATGAGACAAACATCTTTTAACCCTGAAATTTAGTATTTGAAAAATACATTAGATATTAATTAAACTAATTAAATTCCATTTCCAAGAGTTTTGCAGGTAAACTTGAACATGCTTACAAAAATATATATACAGGATGCTCACTGAAGCAGTGCTTAAAATAGCAAGCGGGAAAAGAAGGGAACTTGTCTCCTGCTCAGTTGGAGGTCAGTGGAGGGGAAAAAACAAAGCACAGCACACCACTGTTGGAAGGAAGCTTCCAGAAAAGCCAGTGGATGAGGGCCAGGCAGTGCTGAGCTGAACTTTTACAGTGTTTTGTTTTGTTTGAACTTAACTTGCTTAATATGTTTCAGTTTGTGTGTGTTTCTTGTGTAATTCACCAGTGAAAAGCCCGGCAGCTGAGTAATGTCCTATATTAGTTAACACGGGGCCTGGGGCGTTTGGGTTCTGTGGTTTAGAGCCCAGACCTCCTTCAGACCTCAGGCAGCATGCTGTGGCTTTCGGCCAAGGACCTGGTTCTGCTCAGCCTACTGGTCCTCTCACCTACCTCCGTATCATTGAACCGAAAGGGCTCCAGACAGGGGTTCCACCTGACCAGCCTGGGAGATGGCATGAAGTCCAAGAATGGGTAAATGGATGTTCTTGTGAAGTTGAACCCATGGATGCCATCTTCTGGGAACACTATAATCTGCACACCCTGTAAGAAAGACAGAGGAGAGTGGCGGGAGGTAAGGAAGCACCACGTTCTTGGCTGCCAAACATCAACAAGCCGACAGACAGGGGCTGGGAAGAAGATGGCTCAACTCAGCTCAGTGGGAAGGCTTGCTCTCCGGCCATCAGTTGACCGCCCAAGTGCTGGACATGGCTGCACGTGTGTCCGTGTCCTGGAAGAAGAACCACCAGCATGTGGGGATGCAGGGAGGGGGGAGCAGAAGCCTCTAATCCAGCTGTTCTTGGCCATCCTCTCATGCCTAAGTCAGCTGGGGAACTTCTGGGGAAAACTCTGATATGGAGGCCCATCCATAAAACAGCCAACTGGAATGTGGGTGAGCCCTGGCTGCAGTGTTTATTTAAAAGATTCCACTGTGTAGTCACGGTTGGACTCTGGGGGCCATGGATGAGCAGCAAGTGTGCGGTACACAAAGCAGCTCCCACCCGGGACTTAAAGAGTCCCTTTAGGGGCTCTTGCTGCTCTGTAGGCCTCTCCCCACACTGTGGCATCTACAGCAACTTAGGGAGAGAGAAACAAACAGGGCAGCCCTCCGCCCTCATCTCACCTCACTCTCCAGGGGCTCTCCAGCTCTGGATGAAAATGTCAGGCCTAGAATGTCAGCCCAGTGCAGAGAGGGTGGAGGCAGCAGGTAGTGATGGCGGGCCACACACAATAGCAGGCGCGCCAGCACTTAGTTCCTCAGGGAACTGCAATTTTATTTAGGTTTTGTTTACCCACTTCTGGTTCTAAAAGCTCCAAAGTTTAACCATATAAAAATCTGCAAGACCAAAAAACTTAAATACATCAATGCATATCTCTACCACAAAGATGCTTGTTGCCATTCTGCTAGTCCTTTTCCCTGTGCGTCTGGGTGCTGATGAGATGGTATATTGTGCAGCATTTGTCTTTCTCATAGAGAACAAGCAGAAATGCCAACTGTACGTAAGATGCCACATTTCTCCTCCATTGATCATCGGAATGCAACCTCTGCAGTAAAACCAAAGCTGCGGCAGCTGTCTGTGTGTGGTCTGTGTGTGGGGCTCAATACCCTGACTGAGAGGTATTCATGTCTTTAGTTGGCTTCCACTTAGAATACAGTGAATTTCACATGTGAAACTGCTGGGTTAAAGAGCGGGAAAAGTTTTACATTCTTCTTTTTTTTTTTTTCCGTTTTTCAAGACAGGGTTTCTTTGTGTAGCCCTGGCTATCCTGAAACTCACTCTGTAGGCCAGGCTAGCCTCAAGTTCACAGAGCTCATCCTGCCTCTGCTTCCCAGTGCAACCACCATTGCCCAGCAAGTTTTACATTCTTAATACGCATCGACAAACTGGTGTGGCTCCCCATAGCACAGAGTGACAATGACCTTCCCATTGCACAGCGAGCCTTGATGGCGCAAACAAACTGATCACAAACTCAAGATGGAGATGGCCTGCCTTTCCAGATTAGCAGGCTTGCTGCAGGGTTAGGCGATTTGATTGTGTGCAGAATATGCCACCGTTGGCTTTTGGTAATTAAAAGATTACCCCAAGGAGATGGAGGTTGGAGGCTCCTGAGCTCAAGGCCAGCCTAGCTAACAGTTGAGCCTGGTTCATCAAAATCAAAACGGAACAAGTCCTCACACTGAAGACTGCATCTGTGTCTTGAGGAACAATAGACAGTTGCTTGTTTTAGCTAGCAACAAATTCTCCGGGTCACTGCTGGGCTGACTGCAACATTCCCTTTTTCAAATTCCTACCATGATCAAATGAGTTAAATAAAAACTGTTCATTATGTATTTGCATGAGTCCCTTCTTGGAGTGGGGGGGCAGGGTTTTTCTGTGTTGCCTTGGCTGTCCTGGAACTCACTCTGTAGACCAGGCTGGCCTCGAACTCACAGAGATCCGCCTGCCTTTGCCTCGGCCAGGATTAAAGGCATGCACCACCACCACTTGGCTATAAGTCACTCTTTTTTGAAAATTATACTTGGAGAGAGGTTTTCCTTTATTCAGAAAAAAAACAAAACAACAAAACAAAAACACTTGAAGGATGTCTTATGGAGCCTGCCATTTCAGTTATGTCTACACATTGACCACAGTGCTTCGGCTGGGTCCTGACATGCCTAATGAGGTCAAGAACTCCTGAGGAATGAAGGTCACCAACCCTTGGGACTGCACAGTCTAAACTTCAAGGCTGACTTGTCCCTCTATGCCAGGGGTCCTGTGGGAAACGCCTGTCTTCAGTGACTCTGATGTAAGACATGGATGCTGCAAAGACAGCATAGGAGCTAAGGCGCTGGACCATACAAAGCAGCCCTGTGAGCCCCTGGCACACAACCATGTATGGGAGTTCCAAGCTGGAGATTCGGTAGTCACCATGGACAGATGGAGAAGCCAGGTGAGCCTGCAGGTGCTGAGGAGGCACTGTGCCATTCAGTGCCTCCATCACAGGGCCTGCCCTTGTGTGGGTCAGGGCTGGGAGGAGGCCTGAAAGTACAGCTGGGATTTATTTTACACTGACTTCAGCAGAGACATAAAAGGGATAAGTATCAAATGCATGAACGCTATGTAGATGTCAGTAAAGATCCCTAAATAGCCCAACAGGCCGGAGCAGGGAACAGCTCGGATGGGAAGGCTTGCTCAGGTTGTCAGCTGACTGCCCGAGTGCAGGGGGGCCGCACACAGCCTCGTGTGTAAAGGAACAGAAGGTCCTAAGTGCCCTGGAAACACAGTGTGATGTGACTGCCAGGAGTCCACTGGGGACATCACCTGGAGCAAGAAGGCTGGGAGAAGCCTGCCACCCACCCTGCCACACAGCAGTGATTCGTGCCCACAGTTCTAAGAGAAGTCTGAAGAGGACTGGAAGCTCAGGCTTTTCCTGGGGGACTGGGGCAGGTGTGCAGACGGTGGAACTCAGCGGCTTTTCAAGGTCAGACTGTGGTCAAAACCTTCCCAGAAGTAGCACAGTGGAACACCTAGGAAATAGTGCGTCCTGAGCTACTGGGGGGGGGGGGGGGGGGGGGGGGGAGGCAAGAAGCCAGGTGCCAGGTGGGGACAAGAGAGGAGTGCCATCCACAAGGAATGCTGGACCATATACACTAGCCCAGGATTTTAAAGTGCACCAAGAAGTGGTAGCTATGTCCTTTCGGGTCACGAGGTGTGGGCATGGGGTGGTGGGTCTGTTGGCATGGCCAGGTCCACACCGGCAGCAAAGGCAGGGCACTGGCTCATTGTCATTAGCACAGCAGGCCTTCCTCAAGCAGCTGGGCCTGGCGGCCCCACCAACAGGGAAAAAGCTCAGATTCTCTTGGTTCCAGACTTCCCCACCCCACAGCTTCTTCTGAGAGTAGCACTTCCTCCCCTGTCCCAGGGGAGCCTATCCTCCACCCCCACCCTTCCTGGCTGGCAGAAGAGGAAAGACAGCCAAGAGGAAGTCCTTACAAGGATGTGGGCCTGGGGTCCTATTCCGTCTGGACGAAGGGCTCCCCATCTGCACGAAGTGCACCACAGACGGTGGGCAGACAGCCAGCGGCAGTTCTGTGGGCACTTACAAGTTCCTGTAAGCTTTGAACGCCTTTCTGAGCATGGAGTTCACTGTGCTCCCTGGTTTTCAAGTGTTTTTTTTTTTTTTTTCTGTTATTTGTTTCTGAATATCATTAATCCCCAGGGATGTGCTGTGCACACTCCCACAGCCCAGACTGCACCCATTCTGGAACAGTCGGCTGGAGCTCCAGACCCAAACTCCAGCTCTTGTTTACGGCACCATCAAATCCCAGGCAAAGCCACCCAAGACCTAGGCAGGGCTTCTTCAGCTTGGGGAAAACACTCCTTAGAGATGACCTTGCTTAGCTTGCTGGTCCTGACTCTGGAGGTCAGGAGTGGGGCCCGATTTAATAAGCTGCCATGTGCGGTTGGTTGGGCCGCTGACTAACTTCTGAGAAGCAAGATGCCAGTCAGATGACCCATCAACTCAGACCAAGAGCTGACGCATTTCTCAGGGGGACCTTGAGAGGCTGCGGTTTCTCCTTGCTCAGAGCAGCTGGCTCTGCTAAGGACAAAAAGGGCTCTTGCCTTCTGGGCTGCAGCCATCACTTGCTGTTCATAGATGTCGAGGTTCTGCTTCATGAGCTCCAGGGCCTGTTGGCGGCTGGTGAGCTCCAGAGGGTTTGGGCTCAGGACCGACCGGTGCTCATACACTGCAGCAATGTAGTGCTTGGCCTCGCGGTGCTCCAGGGAGCCTGAGCCGAGGCCCAGCGCAAGCGCACAACAGCCGAGGAGGAAGACAACAGGCATGGTACAGGCTCCAGACATAATGCAGACCATAAATCTGGAACGAACCGGCAAGGGGAGAAGAACTGAATAAGGAGGGCTGCCAAGGACTGAACTTTCGCAGATGTGATTTATTAATCCTGGCAATTACACTCGCCCGCAGCGATGGTGCGGCTCAAAGAGTTTGTTTCATGTCCCTAATAAAAGCCGTGTTTTTCTCTCCAAACACGTAGAGCTGCATTTCAAATGGCTCGCTGTGTTAATAGGCTGGTTTCAGAACATTTGCAAAACAGACTCGGTGTTTGCCTCTGTTTTCTTACGCAGCATGCAGGAAGCCTGCAATGCGCCACTGCCGTGCTAGCCAGGCGCCTACACTGTGCGCTGCAGGAACTGTGCGGAATTTTTGACACAATTTCTGTGATATATTTGACGCTCTGTCAGAGCCTTCCTACTCAGTGCTACAAGTCAGCCCTCTAGGACAGCTGTAAAGGTCGTGAGGCTCCTGAACGCAGAGCAGCTTCCTAGCTGACATTCTTCAGTCTATTTGGGGGCCATCAGGAGTCCTAGCATTTGCTGTATCACCCACCAGGCAGCCATACCCGTTTCCCAGTCAGAGCCCTGCAAGGCTTTCCGCTCGAACCTGGATGAGTCTTGCCAGCCATTGCTTTCTACACCTTTGTCCATGCAACTCCAAATCACTTGCTAAAACACATATCTGTTTGGGGTAGCAGTGACGCAGGCTGTTAATCCCAGCACGTGGGAGGCAGAGGCAAGCCTGGTCTACAAGAGCTAAGAGCTAGTTCCAGGATATGCTCAAAAAAAAAAAAAAGGAAATAAAAATCCTTCTTACAGTGAATAACATGGAATTTTTCCAGAAAATAAATTGGAATTTTTTGTTGTGAGTAGACTCTACTTACCATAGACACAAGCGAATGACACTCTGTATCCTCCCTTGTCCTGTCCCTGACATAGAAATGGTTACTCTCCATAATTGCATGTGTTACTAAGTGTTTTCAGTGACTGGCCCAATTGTGCCTTGAAAAAACACCCTGGTTTCCTAGCTGAGCCCCTCCCCTGGAGGTGTACCACAGTCGAGCGGCTGCCCTGTGGAGACAGACAGGGGCTGACAACCGCACAAGAAGAATTCTGGTTCAAAGCCAACATAACAACGACAAATCAAGGAATCCCACTGCTGTTCTTTAAAATGGCATCCCATCCAAAAAAATGGCATCCAAGCCTCAACTTGGGATGCGTATGTTTATATCCCAAACAAACCGCCTGGGCTGCTATTAGTCTTCTTTTTATTATTTGGCTAAAAGTTCCAGAAACAAGCCACAGACTAGACATAGGGATCCTCATTCAGAACCCTTCAACATCAAACTCTCCTCAGGGAGCTGCCTTCCTCCTCCCACCCCATCCCATCTGAAGCTGCCATTCGTTCCACCAGGGAATAAATGGACCATACAAAGCCCAGGGTTCGCTGCCACTATCTGGACACTGTAAGCAATGTTGCAGGGCAAGAACAAGGGCCTTTGAGTGAGCAGTCACGAGTTTTGGAGTGGACACAAAGGAGTTATTGATAAGCCTTCTTATTGGAACTCTGTCTGCAAAGACACCAAGGAATAATTTTACATGCTTCAAAAAAATCTACTTTGCATTCCTCTTTGAAAGGACGATAATGGGGCAGCCTGGGCGAGGTCACAGTAATAGTGACAATACTTTTAAAGTCCAAGTTGATGGCCCCTTGAGGAGGTGTGGAAACCGGCTGAGGTCAAAAGACACATAAGGCAGGCCTTACTGGTGGAAAGTCAGGGACTCCCAGGCTAGGAGGGGCCTTGCCGGTTTCTGTGTGCAGATGTGGGCACACAGGGAAGGGACGGACCTCACAAATGGTGGCCTAGGGCTCTGCCACTGAGCCATACCCAGCCCCTCAGATACAGATATCTAACTGCAATCCAAGGAAATAACAAGGAAACTGCAGGACCAGCAAAATACCACATTCCTTTCTATTTTCAGAAAGTGAAATTTGTGTTCTTTGTAGAAGGAGTACAGTAGCAAAGTCCCAAGTTGCAATCGTATGTGGGTGTGTGCGTGTGTGTGTGTGCGCATGCATATGTGTGCGTGTGTGTGAACAAAGGTAGATCGATAATTAGAGGCTATGCACAGTTAACCAGGTATTCACGCTTCAAAGACTCAGGCTTAACGAGGTAGGAGAGAATGACTAATTACAATAAAAATAGCTGCAAGAGTTTGCCCTTCCCCAATGGCAGCAAAGCGGGAGACATTCTCACCAATGCTGTGAAGCTGGCTTCCTCTCTGCACTTGGCATCACACAGTCTCAGGAAAAACATAAGGAGGCTGAGCAAGGACGCCGAAGGGCTCAGCAGCAGCAGAAGGGGTGCTCAGTTTTAAAGTGACAGAGTCGGGAACTAGGGAGGCAGCTCAGCTGTCAGAGTGCTCGTCTGACATGCACAAAGCCCTGGCTTTGATCCTAGCACTGCACAAACCAGCTTTGTGGAGTGTATCCCTGAAATCCCAACACCCAAGAGGTGCACGCAGAAGAATCATTAGTGCAAGGTCCTGGATCAGGGGAGATGGCTGGTGAGTAAAGTGGTTCTATATTCAGGCCCCAGCATCCACATAAAAGCTAGCATGAGGGCACACCAGTTACCTCAGAACCGGGCAAGGGGGCACACCTGTAACCCCAGCACTACAAGGGATGGACATAGGTTGATCCATAAGTCAGGCTAGCCACTGGACCCTGAGTCAATGGGAAGCTCTGTCTCAAAAAAGAAAAAAAAAAAATAGTAAAGAATGCTAGAGGAAGTCTGCTGATGCTGGCCTCCACCAAGGGCACATGTGCATGGGCACTCGCACCACATATACCACACACTGCAAAAAGAAAGTCAAGGTCATCTTACCTTGAAACAGAGTTCAAGGGCAGCTTGTGTTAAGGAGGGGGCAGGGAGGAAGGGATGTTCTGGAGTGGCCAGCACTTCTAGATACATGTAGATGAGGCAGCTGCTAGGTGCTGACTCATGACCAAATGTACAATACTGGGATACAGGGCTTCCTAGAACAGGGGCTCTGGAGCCAAGGAGTCCTTGGAAACCCAACCAGTGACCCATCTTTGGAGATGGCCAGGACCTTAACTAAACAACAGCTAGAAGTAAGTATCTGCCCCAACATGGTGGTAACATAGCCCTTTTACTGCAGGACACAGGGAACTGAACTGTGGCAGGGCCTCGACCAATATACAGCTGTAGAGACAACGTGCCTGCCCTCTGTGGGCATGCTCCACTCTGAGACACAGTCTGGTCTCTGAGGTACCCCACTTCTAAGAAGATACTCACTCCAGACATCCACATATTAGCCAACTGAGCCAGGCCCAGGCACATATGTCTGGAATGCATCAGTAAGCAAACAGGGCCTCTTGGAGCTCATCACTGGATACACAGGAGGCTGGACTTAAAGACGTCAGTTTCTATACGTCAGATAGCAATATGTGCAAAGGAAGGTCATTGGGGTGGCGATTCTAAGCCAAGCTCTGACCTGAGGCAGCCATGAGAAGGCACACTGGACCTGGAGGAAGGTGCAAGGTAGCTGCATGCCCCTCCATTCAAGAGATGGCAGAGGAGCTGCATGGCTGGAGCACAGGTAGCAGGTGGGAAGGGGTGGCCAGTGGATGCAGGTGGGAAGGGGTGGTCAGAGGATGCAGGTGGGAAGGGGTGGTCAGAGGATGCAGGTGGGAAGGGGTGGCCAGTGGAATTAGAGGAAGAGCAGTGTCTGGTCACTGGACTGAAGACCTCTGTGCACATCACTTGTCCTCCTCCCACATCTCATTAGATGTTGTGAGACCTCCTTCAGCCAATAGCCTTTTAGATGCCGGCCCACTTGGGCGTGGTCTGAGGTGCCACAAGCACAGGTGAAAAGTGTGCATGACCCTTTCTTTGCTGGATGCGGTTCCCAGCTCCCAGCACCGACAGAGGACTGTGGATCTCTACCCTTACTGTCAGTTTTAACCCCCAATAAACAAACCTTTGTTATACTCCATTCTGGGCTCTTGTGGACCTCTCTAACAGGCCACAGTGTTAAGCAGAATTATGGTCTGATTATCGTTTTCATTTGAAAATTTA